CTGTCTCCTAAGCCTTCATATACTCTTTCCTAAACATAATAACTTGTCAGGAAACCCATCTCCATTAAGAGTAGTTATTTCCCATTTAAGTTTTATGAATTCTTCCAATGAAGCTATTGAGAATACATATTGCTGAAATTATCGGCCGCTTCACTCTGTAGGTATCCTCACCTCTTCAAACAAAAGCGTGCTTCCTAGTTCACTGCTGCAAAATGCGAGCTTCTGTTCCTATCGAAAATGCTGAAATCAGTCCCCCATCCACTTTATTTAAATATGGTTTTTAACTGAAAACTGGAACCATTTTTTATCAGGTTAATTGCGGTTGATAGCAAGCATAGCTCAAGTTCAATCCTATTCTATCACCCTCTTATCATTTCTCCTATTCAGTGCCATATAAACTTGCTTCTATTCCAATGCAATCCATACATTTTCCTCTTCCCATGGCACCTATGATGGCTCTTCTTCCACGTCACATTAGGTTTCACGAGTTCAAAATTCTATGTATTATATTTTAGATTCAAGCATCTTTTTAAGACTGGTCGGTCTCATTGAGGATGTTGAGGGTGTTGAGACGAAGAAGACTATGACTAATGAAATCCGTAAGGCGAAGTTACATTTTTCATCCCCATTATGTGGTTTTAATCCAGTGAGCTTCCTTTGGTGGTGATTATTGATTCAAGTATGATGCATCCGGAGGTATGATTTGATTTTATTTTGCCACCATCGCTGCCACATTCTGAATCTGTCAATTTAATTTTATCACCACTTGGACTTATTTCCCATTATATATTCGTCATCGGTTGATCTTCCTTCGAAGGTGATTTTTATTTAATTCTGATGCCACTACATCCAGCCATACATTGACTTAATTATGCCAGCATCACCTTTTTTGTAAAGCTTGCTGAGATATGGAAGCATGATACATAGCAGCATCCAATGTGCAATCTTTCTTATAAATTTTTGTGTATAATTAGTTTTGAAACTTCTTGGGTTGGATTTTTCTCAGCTTGAAAGAACTGATGGTATGGCTCTTTTCCTTCCTGATCCATAAGAGAGACGCAATTTATTTCATTTCATATTTAATTAATTTTTTTATTTTCATGCTATTTATTATTTTATGCTTTTGGATATTATGAATATATATATTTTTTTTCTGTATATTTATTTTAGTATTTTGGTTGAAATATTCCATGTTTGTAAATGGGTTGTAGTATGCTATAGCTATAGTTATGATTGATCTTAGGGGCATTTACATACATACCGCTCAATTCCTATGTATTTACATATCTAACAGCTAAAGTTTGCTATTTACATTTATAACTCTTTGGTGTGTCATAAATCTACGCATAAAAATGTGTATTTCACATTTAACAAGTTAGTAATTGTGGTATTTTTTGTTGTGTTATTAAAGATTTTAGTGGAATGCATGTAAATATCAAAGTTGTGTATCAGGTCAATATCTCTTTTTTTTTAATGCATTTTCTGCTTTAATTA